AAGAAGCCATTCATAGCCAGTCTATAATAATAATAATAATTAACGTAATTAAATAAATTTAAAATCTTATACCAAAATTTTCTTACTCCAAATTTCTCGTATTCCTCAAAAACGGAATCAATATTCCATAAACTTTTCGATACTTCTCGTGATAGAATATTTAAGGAGGCATTTCTTTTTGTTTGTTGAATTTCTTGCTCTACGGTTGCATTATTTTCGTTTCCGAAGTTTGTCACAGTCAGTTGTCTTGTTTCATTAATCGACGAAATGATACATTCAGCAAATTTTGTAAACGAACTCTTTTTTAATTCCAGAAAAAATGAAATATTCCTTATCATCTAAAATTGATAATTATGTAATCAGTATTTGACTTTTAGTGGGAAAAAATAAAAAAAAAATAAAAAAATAATATAATAATAAATAAAATAAAGAAACCAAAAAGCAAAATAAAATAAAAAATAAAATTGAATCAAGTAAACAAAAAAAATAAAAACAAATATTATATAATCATGATTTGGGTGCACAAAGTTGTTATAACGAATGAAAAATGAATTGGCAACTCATAGGACTCCATCTGGTATCGAGAAGAACACGTGATGCCATCAATAATTCATCCTAATGCAGCGAACAGATACAATTAGGCTCACACATGGTTGATACCATACCATATTAGCGGTGATCGCATGTATCCTATCCGTGTACTATTGTTATACAACTTATTATTAATTTGAGCTGTTATAACAAATGAAAAATGAATTAGCAACTCATAGGACTCCATCTGGTATCGAGAAGAACACGTGATGCCATCAATAATTCATCCTAGTACAACGAATAGATACAATTAGGCTCACACATGGTTGATACCACACCATATTAGCGGTGATCGCATGTATCCTATCCGTGTACTATTGCTATACAACTTATTATTAATTTAGTGCACAAGCTGTTAAACCGAATGAAAAATGAATTGGCAACTCATAGGACTCCATCTGGTATCGAGAAGAACACGTGCTACCATCAATAATTCATTCTAGTACAGCGAATAGATACAATTAGGCTCACACATGGTTGATACCATCCCATATTAGCAGTGATCGCATGTATCCTATCCGTGTACTATTGTTATACAACTTATTATTAATTTGAGCTGTTATAACAAATGAAAAATGAATTAGCAACTCATAGGACTCCATCTGGTATCGAGAAGAACACGTGATGCCATCAATAATTCATCCTAGTACAACGAATAGATACAATTAGGCTCACACATGGTTGATACCACACCATATTAGCGGTGATCGCATGTATCCTATCCGTGTACTATTGCTATACAACTTATTATTAATTTAGTGCACAAGCTGTTAAACCGAATGAAAAATGAATTGGCAACTCATAGGACTCCATCTGGTATCGAGAAGAACACGTGCTACCATCAATAATTCATTCTAGTACAGCGAATAGATACAATTAGGCTCACACATGGTTGATACCATCCCATATTAGCGGTGATCGCATGTATCCTATCCGTGTACTATTGTAACAAAACTCAAGCATTATCATTAAATTTAGTAACATATAAATAAAACAGCTAATCTGCAGTTAAGAAGTATGCAGAAAAATTCGTACACAAGAAGAAATCAAAAAGGCCAAGACAAATACCTTTCTATGATGATCGACTAATTTGGTATCGCCAAACTTATCTTTTACAAAGGTAATATAATCTGTTTTTTCCGCATCAAGGGTAGTTTGGCTGTATAATTTCTTAGTTTTTGAATACTTCCAACAGAAATATTCTATTGGCGTTGTTTTTTTAATATCATAAATTGCAAAAAATTCCAGTAAGTAGTTCTCAGAATTTTTTACTTCGGACATTTTTGGAAAGAAGTGAAAAATCTTGATAGCTATGAAAAAGGTGTTCGTTTGTTGTTTATAGTTTCCAGAACCGAATTTATATCGAACTCAGTTTATACAAGAGCAAAATAGTATTTGTAAAAATACATGTTGTTATGCATTTTTATTCGTTTTAGAACTGGTTTAAAACAGGATAGGAAAACAGGATAGGAAAACATCCCTATTTTGGGGTTACACAGAACACGTGTTCACATGATTTTGACCAAAATAACATCCCCTAGATCGCCACCAAAATTTTCACCGGCACGTGATCATGTGTGCCACATCGAAGTTCGTTTATGCTTAGAATTTAGGTTGATATATAGTAAAATCGCTCAAGGAAAATTTTTGGTATAAGATTTTAAATTTATTTAATTACGTTAATTATTATTATTATTATAGACTGGCTATGAATGGCTTCTT